GTGCCCCGGTGAGAGAAGACTCGCAAATCAGCTAGTTACAACTAAATAAAAGTCTTTTCGCCGTAGTTTACTTTATAAGGATCCTTAAGGTATCTGTCGACGACATTCAGATAGACAACTCCAACCAAGAGAAGAGGACTGTACCATAATGACAAAGGAAACAGATGGTAAAAACATTTTGGATAAGGACAAATAATGAGTAAATGTGTAATTGTTTAGCTAAGAAATGCACAATACTGATAGTACATTTCCCCCTCTCTTTCTGTATTCGGTCATTTTGAATAAATCTTTATTTTTTGACTCCATGTGTTGGTTTTCTGCTGAAATATAAGTGTCGATTTATTCAAAACCAAAAGTCGGCCTAATTCCACGACGCTTGATGTTTATGATTACCGGAAAAGCTGGACGTCGCAAAAACCGATTGTTACAAAAATAAAGTCAACATGTAAGAATTTTCCGGACATTTTTGGATAACTGCCCTTTCTTGTTTTATTCCCATATTTAAAAAGGACGTGATTGTAATTGCAACAAGTGGTCACCATGTGGAAGTTGTACTTTTACGTAATCCGTGACTTGTAGGTATGTACGTTTAGTTATCTAAAGAAGGTACTACACATGCTATAGAATAGATGCTCGTCTGAGTATTCCTGTAGGTATATCGTACATGTACGTACATGCATACATACATAAAACATTTGAATAATACTTGCACCTCATTCGCTTCACGAGTCAATGAACAGTCTCCGACGACGATGGAATTTTGATGAGGCATGAGCAACCATTTGAGTTCTTGACATTGCCGATCCGACGGTCGTTTTTAACTGCGTTGCAATTATATTTTACGTATAACGACTTCACTGTTGTAGGTAGGGGTCGTAAATAACAATTTTAAATGATAGGCAAGACGACGTGGCATCAGCTAGTCGGGAACTATTTAAAATAAGATTTGTTTTCTATTTCTTGTTTTCATCGTCCAGACATGTACATACATATTCTTATTCACAACCACAGACACTTTCTGCAAAGGGAATCGACGTTTCTTTTTTCCCCTATAACAAATTTATGGTAAATTAAACGTACCCATTTTAATTTTAATTTTAGGTTTACTTTTTGATTTGTTTTGACTTTTTTTTAGCCTTTTAAATACCTCCAAAACTTTAGTGAGTCTCTGATTTGGAAGAAAAAGGTTCTCATAACATTGTTACCAAAAAATTTAACACGAATTGAAGAATTCTAAACTTGTTCTTGAAAACTACAAATTCTATTGCACTTTATATTTGCTTAACATTCAGTGCCGTAGATTAATGAAGGGGGGGGGGCGGGTTAGGATAAAAAATGCTGCAAACCACAATTATACATGCTACACATGTACAATTAGGATTAATGGAAGAAAGGCGGAAATAAAAAAACAGGACAGACGAAGAAGGATAAAAAAGATATAAGGCTATAAAGTGGGAGATCATTAGGAAGTGTAGGGCAGCTAAGGAACAGTGGATTGTTAGGATGTGTAAAGAAATAGTCGAAATGTTTGAACCGATGAGGCGAATAATATAATTAAAAGGAATTTTAGAGATATAGGGTATAGTAGTAATAATATAAGAAACGAGGCAGAGGTCATTTTGATAGAAAATGAGGAAAAGGTAGATAGGTGAAAAGAATATTTAGAGAACCTATACGCAGGTCCTGAGTTAGGAGATATATTAGAGAAGGAAGATAATGTGGAGATAGATAAGCTAGGTTATCCCATAATGAGAGAATCGATGTAACATTAAAAAACTTAAAGAATAATAAGGCGCCAGGTCCAGATGGTATACAGGGAAAAAATCCAAAACATGCAGGACAATAGGTTAGAGATCGTATGTTTAAACTAGTTAGTCACATTTACGAGACGGGGATAGTTCCAGAGGATTATAAAAGGAACGTGGTAGTAGGGATGTAGGGATAAGTTACAAAGACAGAAGAGTGATACTTAGTTTATACAAAGAGCAACAGGTAGGTATAGAGGTGGGGCTGCAACCTAGAGAAGTAAATATTAGGAAGGGAGTTCGACAGGGATGCAGACTGTCACCACTTTTGTTTTTTTTTTTCATCATGACGTAGGCGTCAAGTCGTAAGCTAAAAAGTAATATAAAATTAAATAATTAATAATAATGGGTATATATATAGATTGTTTTTATTTAGTTTAAAAAATTTGCAATCTATTGCTCACTGCGTTGCACTACTGAGCTGTCAACACGTAGTTGACAACAAAATAATTTGATAAATCTTCCTGGTTGAAGTGAGCTACTCGAATTCCCTAGCCAAACTCCTTTGCTTATCCACTGCTGGCAACTACTTTTTTAATACCGTTAATAGCAAACAAATTTGGATTAAATTTGAAACGAAAAATTATGTCGGCTGCTCGCAGAGTGTATTAACTTAAGAATGCATTGATGTTTTTATTCTTAATTGGAAGACGACACAAACATCTGCGTTTAAAATGTTTGTTGCCACTTTTCACGGAATACTAGCAACAAACAACTTTTTCATTTTAAAGTGCAGAGATTTATATCTCCTAATTTTTAATTTTTGAGTAATTTTAAACATTTTCTTGTATTGCTGCATCGGCTTTTCGCCTTGATAAGTATGGCTTCGTAAAAATGATTAATTTTATGATATTGCTCGACAGTATTGGACAATTTTTCTATATGAATTCGCATTAAGTAATGTATATAACGTGCGCGATAATTAATTTTTTTCAATGTAGTCTCTTTTGCTATTGTATGTTTTCATTAACTTGAAAAATGCATAAGTATATCTCTGATAAATAATTGTCGAGAGGAATTATGGCCGAAACAGTTAGGAATATTGAATAATTGGTAATCCAATGTTTCTTATCTTAGTAAAAAAAGTACATAAAACAGCCAATATTTGGGTTTATTTTAGAAGTATTTTGCAGAGTTAGTCGCCGGTACGGTACCGGTGAATAGTCTCATCCAAAAATACATTATTTGAACCAGCACATATCCAAAAATGAACTACCGAAAGTAGGAGAAAAAAAAACTCCTATTGAATGTATTCACTAGACAGCAGATTAATCAAATCTACTTGATCAGCTCTGTCTTTCTATAAACGGTAAATGGGAAGGAGAGAGATGCCCATTTATACATTCGATTTACTACTTTGATAGACCTAGAGAAATTTCTTAGGCCTAGAGAATACATTATTTGAACCAGCACATATCCAAAAATGAACTACCGAAAGTAGGAGAAAAAAAAACTCCTATTGAATGTATTCACTAGACAGCAGATTAATCAAATCTACTTGATCAGCTCTGTCTTTCTATAAACGGTAAATGGGAAGGAGAGAGATGCCCATTTACGAGGGTGGATTGATAAGTTTCCGGCCTAACCAAGAGATGACGCCACTAGGCCTACCTTGAGGTGACATTCTATAGTACCATCCTTGGATAGCTTGTAGCTATAGTTTCAGCCCGATCTCCTTGCTAGTGTAGGTTTGACAGCACGCTGAACAAGACGCCTCTGTGGTTTTCGTAAAAATGGAAAAGCAGGAAAATCGTGCTGTNTATTGTTTGAAAGTTACTTGAACTTTGAAAAATTTTTTTAAATACTTGTTAACAACGAAAGGAGAAAAGTTCTCCAATAATTCTGCTTAAAAGTTTTTCCAGGTTTAACAGGGGAATAAAGTAAACCAAGCGGCAATGCCTATAGAGGTTTAGACCATTGCTTAGCTTCCGGATGATTCCTAGTCCGTCTGCCTTGGTCCATGTTTTCCTGTAGTTTCCTTGGATCACTTAGGCAAATGCTGGGGCAGTAATATTCCACAGATAATCTTTCATTCTCTTCTATCTTCATTTTGTCCGTCTTATCTTTCTCACCCGAACCACTACCCACCCATTCCCACGATTTCTGAAAGGAGGCTGAAGAAGGTCTTCCGTCTTACTTTCCGGCATAGGACGGAGGGACTACCCGCCCACCAGCATTCCTGACTGATGGGAATGAAATACCCAAAAGTTTTTTAAGTCTTTATATATAAAAGAAAGTCGTGTTAGTTATACTACTTATAACTCAAGAATGGCTGAATCGATTTAGCTGAAAATTGGCGAGGAGATAGTTTACAACCAGGGGGTGGATATATGATACTTTTTATCCCGTTTCCGTGGGGTAGAGGAGTGGTGAAGAGAAGTTGCAATGTTTAAATGGAACATATATTACTTGTGGTTAGATTTACTTGAAACTTGGTCTTAATGGTCTCTCATATTTTAAAAAATTCAACCTCCCAAGGGGCGGGGAATTAAAAAGGTGTTGCAATTTTTGTTTGGGACATACTTTATTTGTGCTTGAATTTACTTGAAACTTGGTATATATGTTGTTTGATATTATTAATCAAAAGAAAAGAGGTTGCAACGTTTCCATGGGGTATATTTTATTTGCATTCAGATTTACTGGAAGGTTGCTCATTGTTCAAATTAAGCAAGTACGTGTTTCGGCAATTTTTAAAAATCAACCCTTAAGGATGAAATGTTGTCGCTAGGTTTGTATTTGAAGTCTAAGATGAACTGTCTTTAACTGAAAAGACAATTTTATTGAGAAATATTAGAAACACACCTAACTACATAACTATCTCTTGCTTTTTCAGTTGAAGATTTTAAAATGTCGACACTGATCTAAATTCTAATAAGGGGTTTTCGTAAACATTTGTATCGTTAGTTAATTGGCTTATAAATTTAAATCTAAGATGGCGTCATTACACAAAATTAAAACGTTGTAAGGGTGAATTGGGAGTCAAAAGGTTTTATAGAGAAAAAATATTAATTTCTAAGAGCGAAGTAAGGTTTATTGGTGATTTTACCTATAAAAATGAATCAAAACTATAGAGGGTAACCAGTTATCGGAGGAAAATATACAACTTTGCGGAATTAATACAAATTAATTACTTGTATATTATATAAAAATTATATTATATAGTTACACTTACAGAGTAATAATTATTTGGCCAGCTGTAAACCAGAAATAGCAAGTAACGTTAATTCGGCCCATTGTACAAAGTGCAATAATACAATACGTACGTACTATCAATGAATCTTGGTAGCTTCCGTCACAATTTCAGGATGTCAGACCATTTTCCTTTGAATCGTCCGTCTTTGTCCAACACCGACCATTTGCCGGTATATATAAGTCAACGAGCCATTGGGTCACATAATCTTGTCGATTTTTCGAAAGCAATCACGCGGACAAGAAGAAAAGGGTTTTAGCTGGAACCGCTAAAATGCAGGCTATCAAATTTTTCCCTCTTTTGTTTTGTGTTGTTTGTGCAGCTCCAAGCGTCAGGGTAAGTAATATTTTCCTTTTAAACGATCGTGAACTATTGGGGTTCTGAAAGAATTTCACAAAAAAAAATATAGTCATGTATCATGCTTAATACATCATGATTTAATAAAATCGATGTTTAAGTGGCTTTAAATATAGGAAATTATTCTTTTATTGAAGACACGTTCATATTTTTTTTTTATCTATTGCAAAAATCATTGTTTTGTAAAATAATTTAAAAAAGGAGTGTGCGCTGAAATTCAAAATTCCTCAATATTCTTGCCAATTCCCGTTGGAAAAAACTGATATGTTTTTATACCTTTTCTCTAAAATTGTTTAACTCTCATATTAAATTTTTTGTAAAATCAATAGGTATCTTAAAGTTAATTAAGTGGAATTTTATGGACTTAATTATATCTTTGAAGTTTAAAGCAGTCTTATTTGTTGTGTAGTTTATTTTAAAATAGTTTTTATTCTGCGTGTTCTAGGAGAGTCGAAGAAGTTTTTTAGTGTAAGGACAAAAATTAGGAATCTTTGAAGATGTTTACCTTTTTTATTGTATAGTCATTAGGTCCTACTATTAATATTTAATGAATTACGGAATATTTAGCTATTTAGGCCATTTTCTAATAATTATAATAATATCTATCATTCAAATCATACGTTAGAATGAAGTACATACTCATAAAAGAAAAGTATAATAATCTCTTAGCGCCTTTGGCAGTTCTAGCAAAGGGTGGTAAGTCTTTCCTGCTTGTCTCTGGATGCTCCTATAGGCTCATTAACCTAATTAGTAAACAAAAAGATTTTTTGTTGTACTGATTCATATCAACGTTTCATCTTTGCCCAAATGTCCTCCAGGGTTAATAGCTACAAAACATTTATCATTGGTGAAATTGTAACTAATTAAAATGGTTTGCTATTAAGATAGTTCGTAAAAGTATTTCAAACAGTTCACTTAAACTTCTGATAAAATGCTAACATTTTTTGTTCCTTTTGACCTATTGGTATATGACAAACATTTTCCATGGGATCTGTTATTAAATTTTTATTGGAATACCACAAAACATTTAAGTTAGCAGCTTATCGATGTATACCCGTAGGAAAAATTTCCATTCTATTTCCATTAAAAAAATGCAATTTAGTTAACTGATAATAATTAATGGTAATAAATGGAGAATTGCCAATGGGACGAATGGAATTTCCACTACAAAATGGAAAAATGGAAATACCACTAGAATTCTAGTGGAAATCCAATTCCCAAACTCAAAGAGATATCCATTGCTGAACGCAATGGAATTTCCATTGCGTTCCATTGGAACTTCCATTCCGTTCCACGTAGGAAAAATTTCCATTCTTTTCCATTAAAAAAAGGCCATTTAATTACCACTGATAATAATTAATGTTAATAAATGGAGAATTGCCAATGGGATGAATGGAATTTCCGCTAGAATTCTAGTGGAAATCCCATTCCCGAACTCAATGGGATTTCCATTCCTGAGCCCAATGGAAATCCTAGTGTCAATTCTTTATTTTTTACCTTTAATTATTGTTAGTGGTAATTAAATGACATTCGTTTTAATCAAGATGAAATATGAGGTTTTTCGACGAAAAAAAAAAATAAATTACATGACGATTATTATTCCAAATAATGTCTTGTTTATTATTTTTACAACTTGCTTTGACAATCACATTAACTTCAGCACGTTTTTCTCCATTTTTTTTTATAAGTTTTAATCATCTCAAACCAGATGTTCTCCATTTTTAAGCACCCAATTGTTTTTCCATTTATATTGAATGGTTTTAAATAGAATTTATAAATTTTGCATTGGTTCCCACTGAAAATGAATGGAAATCTTTCCTGTGTAAATATTAATGGAATTATTATACATGTAAATAATTATTTTTCTCTTTATGCCAAATGGGTCTGAATGGAATTTACAAATTTTCCATTGATTCCTATTGAAGTTCAATGGAAACTTTTCTTACGGGTATATACGTCAGCAGATGCTCTTAAAGTAGTTCGTAAAAGCAATGTACAGAAGTCTCCTTTGGGGTTGTGCACTTCCTAAGGATTAAGTTGTGGTCTGGGAAGGCGCACTATAAACATTACCCTAATAAATGGCAATACATTACCCAAAAATTAAAAAGAAACAGCTAAAATCTTTTCGTGTTTCATATACATTAGCTATAAACACCGGTTAGCGGACAATTCCTCCAAGTTATACTCTAGTGCAAAGACAGTGGCTAGGACGGAAAAATTCTATTAGTGGAAATGATTGGGTGAATTGGGGAAAAATAAATAATACTAAAGAAATGAAGACAAAAGGAAAGTGAAATCTGTGGAATATTGCCGTTTCTGCATTTGCCTAAATGATCCAAACCAACCACAGCAAAAATTTAACCAAGGCAGACAGACCTGGAATCGAACATGCATCATCCCGAACGCTCAGTTATGACACGGAATCTTAATCTGAGTCATCTTACACCGTCTGTGAAGGCCTACGAAAAGTTATTACCATAATTAAATTCTAAATTTGGGAACCATGATGATCATGAACAGTCTAACTAAAAAGACAATTTTATTGAGCGATATTAAAAATATACCTAACTTTTCGTATAATACATAATTATCTCTTGTTTTCTCAGTTGAAACTTTTTGTCGATACTGATCTAAATTCTAATAAGGGGTTTTCGTAAACATTTCTATCGTTAGTTAATTGGCTTATAAATTTAAAGCTTTTTGGACTTTTGCTTGAATTTGTAAAAAAACTTTAGATAGAGGTAAAAATCTTCTGAGTATATAGCTACCCACAAAATGTTTCCTTTTTCTCAAACATTACGTGTCAAAAGTAATCGAAACTGTCTGCATTCCAACCACGTTCTATTATTAAATAACAAGCAGTTCAAATATAGACATACCGTTAATTTGATGCAGCTTAAGTTTTAAAATTGGAATTGTATCAGAAACGTGCCGCTTACAAATCGGAAAAAACCGTGCACCTTCTACATACTAATGAATAAAACAAATTAATTCAGTAACTCCGTTAAAATAATGTTTAAAACTCGTGTGAAACACACTACACTGACCGAAGGAACCAAAGGTCGTATTGTCAAATTGTCTAAGCGAGTGTACTGTTTCTTTTTCAAACAATTATTTCCAGTTCTTATTTTTAAGAGTTCTTTGACAAATGAAAAAATTAATTGTTCTCATTTTTCTGAAATATTAATGATGCAAAAGAGGAAATTAGTCAAAAATAATTTAGAAATGTATTATTTTAGATAGTGTATTAGCGTTTTTAAACATATTTATGTCCTTGTGTTTACAGCGTATTTAAATTTTGTAGAATTAATGGATTCTGCAGAAGGTGATTGATTATAATATAATATAAAAGAAAATATAGTTTGTTTTTACAGTACAATTAGAGGAGTTCTAATAATTGTTACAATTTTTAATCGTTTTCAAAGAGTGCATACAAAAAGAACTCAAGTTCTCGAAAAGTAATTTTAATGTGAAAATTCATTTTCAATTTTTTTATCCACCACAAACTATGGTGGTATACAGGTTAATGAGGGAAATTTTTTTTTTGATGTTTCATCTCTCGTAGCTTAGTGATCAGAGCAGTGATGCGTAAAGCCGAAGTTCCCGGGTTCGATTCACGGCGAGGGTGTGACAACAGCAACAAAATTATTTTTCTTCATTATCCTGAGGTAGAATGTAGTCGATAAAAAAATCGAAAATGAATTTTCACATCAATATTTCATATTAACCACAATTAAATTTAAAAAATGTCAGTTTTTCGAGAAGTGTTATTTGTGAAAAGAACCATTGTTTGTAATCTTGGAAAACTATACAAAAATCGAAGCAATTGTTAAAGTTTCTATAATTCTAATTATATTTTGTAAAAGCAAATTGTATTTTTTCTTTTTTTAATGTAGATATAATTGAACATTTAGGAAAATTATAGGAGTTAATAATTATAAGAGTGTTTTATAAAGAAACAAATTTTCTATAGAACACTCTTTTAGCTTTGATCTTTTTTTAATAGATGGATTTTAATTTTACATAAACTCTTATTAAAGAAATTTATTTAGCGGTAGCAGAACCGAGAAACATTACCTAATGAGTATAGTACTATGTTTATTAAATGGAAAAAGGATCTCTCCATTGCTTCAATCATGTAATACAAATTGTTTTCCCTAAAGAACAAAAAACAAAAACTATTTTCATATTTACCCCTTATAATGGTAGTAGTTCATATATTTACTTGTCAAACTGAATCTATTCTAAATGTTCAAAATCGTGCTAGTTTCGGTAAATTCATCATCACAGGGTCTTCAGTACAAGATTAATTGGAACAAACAGATCTCCATTGTTTTCTGTACCGAGCCAATCTTCGCATTTCCGCCGCAAAGATACACTTTTCACCAATGCTTTTCGAATGTCCAAATTAACCGTTTTCGAGCATAGAAGTGATTACTATCCTTTTTCTTATATCTCTACCACTCTTTCTATCCTGAGTTGTCTGGGTTCCTATACAGGGTGACCCAAAAAGTACGTAATATGCTCATTGCGGACAAATTGAACTAATTTGACTATTTTAGTGCAAGATCGTCTTTAGCGACTAAATCTGATTAAACATATAGTGTTCGAAAATAAAAAAAATATCGTTTCATTTAAATGAGAGTTCTGTGAAATATGCGTCCAACCGAAAAAAATTATATTAGGAAAAACCTTGGTCAGAATGATAAAATATGGGGTAATGCAAAAAAAATGCGGCGATATTCAAATGTTTTTATTTTTTATTGACTGCGGGAATTTTCCGTTGAAATTTTTTTATAATTAAATGCAGCTTAAGTAGGGAATACTGATACCGTCCTGATTTGGGTCTAAAAAGTTTCCTAGGTTGGAGTCACCTTTAGACCCAAACCAGGACAGCATCAGTTCGCCAACAGGTCACAACAGCCTTTACCAATTTATATAGGGTACATTTTTCTTCATAACTATGTGGTTTTGAATTTGCATTTCCTTGTACATGCATCTGTCCAATTGCGAGCCTTTTGAGTCACTTGAACCGAATCAAAACACGTGTAACTCATGACATTACACAGCTTTTATTTTAATTTATTTTCTTACCACACAGCTTTTATTTTGATTAATTTTCTTATCATACCCTACGTATTATGTACCAATTCAAATTTTGATGATTTCTTTATTTTAGATATATCCTGAACAGTCTCCTCCGCAGTTGATGACATTACCAAGCAATGCAACGATAATAAGAACTGATATAACAGATTCCTTCAGCTGTGAAGGACGAGAGTACGGATATTATGCAGACGTGGATAATGATTGTCAAATTTTTCACGTGTGCTTACCAGTTAACTACGGCGATGGACGATCGCAGATGTTTCGGTGGAGTTTCATTTGTCCAGAAGAAACTGTTTTCAGTCAGGTAACATAAAAAATAATGCGGTTAAAAATCAATCGGATTTTGCGCAATTAATGTTCCATACCAGTGAGCATTGACACTGAACATATTGAGAGATTCTTAGGAAATATAAAACATTACAGCATTTCCTACTTTTTTTATCAATGTTAATACACTTGCCAAATTTATTTCTAATTTTTCTCGTAAATTATTTCGCACTTGTTAGTTTCTTTTTTTACACAATTCTAACCAAATTATTTTACGAATCATACGATTACATTCTATAAATCACTTACTTACTATCGCTCCCAAAGAAGCCTTTATTTTTGGGCTTTGAGTTTTGCAAAAATACAAACAAAAACTCCTATTTCTTGTGTTGTATAGATTTGCAAAGAGAAAATAATTTTTTTATTACTATTAATTAGGTAGAAGCAATAGTGATTTTATTGTCATGTTTAATGAACCCAAAGAAATCAACTGCTTCACTGAATGTTTCTTTACGTATAAATAATTTACTGCTAATTGGATAAATTACACGAAAAGATCTACGTAACACTTTTTATATAATTAAGCAGTTTGTGCTAATGAACTAACATTCAAGTGGCTATTAAATGGAAAACAAAATTAATCTTTATAGATAACAGACTATGATGTTCCTGATTTTCTAAAATTGCCTACATTATTATATAAATACTGTTATAAGTCTTACAATTTAAAAAAAAATGAGAATTTTCTTCATCATCATAAGGTTGTTAGTCCTAAGACTGGTTGAACACGTACTTCCACTCTTTCCTATTCTGAACTCATCTTCACATTTCTCCAAAACTAGAACAACCCACATCCTTAACTATTTTCGAACAGTAATCTAATCTATGTCTACCTCTACCTCTCCTAACTCCTGTTTCTGCCGCTAATATGTCTCTGACTAGACCTTCATGCCTGAGAAGTTGTCCTACCAATCTATTTCGCCTATCTCTTATTGACTTCCATAGAGTCCTCTGTTCTCCTACTCTTCGTAATACCTCTTCATTTCTAACCTTTTCTACTCACGGTATCCTCATCATTCGCCTGTAACACCACATTTCGAACGCTTCTAACCTATTCTTTTCCGTTGCGCCCACTGTCCATGTTTCGTATCCGTACAACGCCGCGCTCCAAACATACACCTTTAACAACCTTTTTTGAAGCATTTAAACGAAGAACATCAAAGCATATGACTATATCTAAATGCATCGATAAGGAAAGGAACATGATATGGTTACTCAATAAATTTCGCAGTAATTTTAACTATTGTATAGTGCAAATAATTGCAATATCAGATTAAAATGTTTTCCAAAATGGATTGCATTGTATAACATTTTCTCACTTCCATTTTTAGAATTATCTTAAGAGCCCTGTTGGCTATTACCAAATTAAGAAATCTTCCTGCTTCTTTTCAGGAAATTTTCACATGTATTAGCAGAGACGATATGGTCATTGACTGTATGGAATCCCCCAAGTTTTACATTCTCAATAGAAACATTGGCGTAGAGAAAGAACATACCAGAGAAGAGGACAGTTCATCTCCGATGCCTCAAAATCATTCCAGTATTGACGACGTCCCCGCAGTGCCCGAAGTTCCACAATCGTTAGAGAAAAAAAACTTAAGAAAGGCATATGAGAACAAACGAAAAGTCATAGAGTAATAACGATATTATTTTGATAAAAAAAAGCTATTTAACCGTCAAGAAGCATTACTATTAACTAACTACTAATGGACAGACAGACTGTGAATTTCAATTGCCATCTCTAACTCAAGTATAGTGAAAAAGTAGAGTTTGCAGAACTAGTATATTATTTCTTTTTTTGTTTTCAAATGCCTCTCTTATGCATTGTCTCCTGATTGCGGAAGTGAATAATTGGGCGTAATACAAGTATGCCCTAGACAAAAATTTTCAGTCTCTCAGAGTCTTTTAGCGTCTCTCACAGTCTCTCAGTTATTGCCTAGTTATGGATCTCTCACAGTCTCTGTATGACAGACTCGAACGACAAAATTGTTAATTCAGAGATTCGAGTCTCTCACAGAGAGACTGAATGGATAAAACTGAAATATTTAGAGACTCGTGTCTCTCGTAGAAAGACTGGGATCTCTGAAATATGTTGAACTTTTAAACCATGTCTATCGAGACACCACTTATTGAGAGATTCGAGTCTCTTGTTCAGAGATTAGATACGAAATAACGATCTCTCTATAAGCGACTCGAGTCTCTCGTTCAGAGACGCTAAACAGTTTTTTTGACAGTCTCTCTCAGCGACACCAGAGAGACTCGATGAGAGACGGAGAGTCGAATCTCGCTATCAGAGACTCTGAGAGACTGAAAATTTTTATCTTGGGTGTGTATCTAGTCAAATCTTACTTTACTTTATGTAAGACAAGACTTTCAAAGGTGCTGGAATTTATGTTTTGTTTCTATTTTTTATTTATTTTTGGACACTGCTTCGCTTTATCGCTGGTAAAAATGCATTACACGATAGGAGAATTGCGTTACTGCGAAGGTTAATCAGGAGACAAAGTATTTATTTACCTATAAAATAATTCCATATATGTATCTCTTATCAGTTTCTTTTAGATATAAGTTTTTCAGTAATTGTGAACAAAACTAGATTCTGTTGTTTACATCAAACGTTATACACAACTTTTCGATTGCATTAAAGAGTGCGCTAAATTCAATGGTTAATTTTATTTTTTTCCTTTAACCAATAATAACTACTCTATAAACGAAACGTTACCATCATCATCATCATCATCATAAAGTCGTCAGTTCTAAGACTGGTTAGACACGCACCTCCACTTTTTCCTATCCTGAGCTAATCTTAGCTTCTCATTAAAACTAGAATATTGCACATACTTTGTGAACAGTAATCTCATCTAGGTCTACCTATCCTCTTTTTAACTTCTGTTTCTGTTTCTAATATGACTTGCCCTGCATGCTTGAATAGGTGTCCTACCAGCCTATCTCGCCTATTTCATATTGACTTCCTCTGTTCTCCTATTTTTTCTAATACCTCTTTATTTTTAACTTTATCTAACCACGGTATCCTCAGCATTCGTCAGTAACATCATATTTAGAACGCTTCTGAGCTTTTCTTTTCCCCCCGCACCCATCGTACATGTTTCGCACCCGTACAGCGCTGCGGTCCAGACATACACCTATAACAATCTTTTCGAATTTCTAAGTTAACAGTTCGTGAGCACAGAAGTGACTTCTCTTTGTTTTTATCAAACTAATTTAACTTCGAAAATTTTGGACTAATTATTTTTTCTTTTCGCTAAAAATGTTTTGGTCGTAGGAATTATTGTACCTACTAAGTGCAATTTAAATTAAATATTGGCAGTTTACATACAACATTTTAGGTTTATTTCATATATATCGTAATCAAATACTACCATGTCTGACCTAACCTAACCTTTGGAAAGTTGAAGTAATTGATTTCTCTTATATAAGAAATTATGTATATGATTGTAAGAATAATTCTAATCTGCTAATACTGGGAAAGTGTTTTGCGCGCGCTTCTTTTTTTATCCTCGTCTAATCCAATTGGACCTAACCTCTTGTGATCTTTTAAATTACTTTGCCTTGTATGCAGTGCACATATGCGTTAGGGACACGGCAAAGTACCTCTGGGGTTTAATGAATACCAGTGTAAATTATTGGGTGTTTTCCGAAATATAACCCAACATACTGGCCAGTGCTGATGACGTCATAAATCGACGCCATATTGTACTGGTGTGCCACCATATTGTACTGGTGAGACAAATGTGATGGCGTGTGTGCATCAGACTTTGAGGAATTTTTTATTTTAAGAATCTTTAATAACTTTTAGAGCAAAATTATTGTAAACGAGCACAAACACTATTGTCAATTTGACATCAATGCACTGGCCAGTATATTTCGGAACGAATCAACAGTATGGCGTCGATTCATTACGTCATCAGCACTGGTCAGTATGCTGGGTTATATTTCGGAACACACCCATTAGTTTTCAAATCGACGGATTTGAATTGAATTTACAGACGTCAATTGCGGGTTGTCTATGTCAGTAATTTCCAATTTTTTTTTTTTTTTTTTTGCTACAGAACCCTTTCTGACCCACCTTTTTTTTTGTGGAATTCCATTTTGGCAAAAGAGTAAATGGAAAGTAGTTTTATAACACCTTATTGTGCACAAGTTGCAATTTTCTACTTGAATTTTGAATTTAAAATCTTTATTGCACATTTTCAATCACTTGTTGTACCTTAGTAGTAGAGCAATGATGCGTGAAGCTAGAGGACCGGGTTCGATAATGTGTAGTTGTAAAAATTAATTCGTTGAAAAGCTTACAACAATTTTCGAAAATTCTGAGTATCCACATTTTCGGAGATTCCTAAAGATGGTAGATCTGACTCCTACGGTATAGCCTTCTAATTAAGTCAAAAAATTAACAAAAAAGTTGTCAGAGATATAGGCAGGTACATCCGTATATCACTATCGCATTGCGAATATTTTTATAAATACCTGCAGTCAACTTCACATCTGCGTACTTAAAAAATTATCTCCGCAGTACTAGAAATTAGCTGATATTCAGATAAATATTTCAAAACAGCTACAAAAGGCATATACACTTTCCAAAATGCTACATTTCTGGATTGTTTTCAGTTTAAGCATTTACCAAAAATTTGTAGATATTAAGATATCATTTATATAATAAACACATTCAAATCCTTGTTTTGATAAATCACAAACAAATTACGTGGATAATTACAATAAAAATAGATACACATNGTTATTGTGTAGTTATGGATCTCTCACAGTCTCTGTATGACAGACTCGAACGACAAAATTGTTAATTCAGAGATTCGAGTCTCTCACAGAGAGACTGAATGGATAAAACTGAAATATTTAGAGACTCGTGTCTCTCGTAGAAAGACTGGGATCTCTGAAATATGTTGAACTTTTAAACCATGTCTATCGAGACACCACTTATTGAGAGATTCGAGTCTCTTGTTCAGAGATTAGATACGAAATAACGATCTCTCTATAAGCGACTCGAGTCTCTCGTTCAGAGACGCTAAACAGTTTTTTTGACAGTCTCTCTCAGCGACACCAGAGAGACTCGATGAGAGACGGAGAGTCGAATCTCGCTATCAGAGACTCTGAGAGACTGAAAATTTTTATCTTGGGTGTGTATCTAGTCAAATCTTACTTTACTTTATGTAAGACAAGACTTTCAAAGGTGCTGGAATTTATGTTTTGTTTCTATTTTTTATTTATTTTTGGACACTGCTTCGCTTTATCGCTGGTAAAAATGCATTACACGATAGGAGAATTGCGTTACTGCGAAGGTTAATCAGGAGACAAAGTATTTATTTACCTATAAAATAATTCCATATATGTATCTCTTATCAGTTTCTTTTAGATATAAGTTTTTCAGTAATTGTGAACAAAACTAGATTCTGTTGTTTACATCAAACGTTATACACAACTTTTCGATTGCATTAAAGAGTGCGCTAAATTCAATGGTTAATTTTATTTTTTTCCTTTAACCAATAATAACTACTCTATAAACGAAACGTTACCATCATCATCATCATCATCATAAAGTCGTCAGTTCTAAGACTGGTTAGACACGCACCTCCACTTTTTCCTATCCTGAGCTAATCTTAGCTTCTCATTAAAACTAGAATATTGCACATACTTTGTGAACAGTAATCTCATCTAGGTCTACCTATCCTCTTTTTAACTTCTGTTTCTGTTTCTAATATGACTTGCCCTGCATGCTTGAATAGGTGTCCTACCAGCCTATCTCGCCTATTTCATATTGACTTCCTCTGTTCTCCTATTTTTTCTAATACCTCTTTATTTTTAACTTTATCTAACCACGGTATCCTCAGCATTCGTCAGTAACATCATATTTAGAACGCTTCTGAGCTTTTCTTTTCCCCCCGCACCCATCGTACATGTTTCGCACCCGTACAGCGCTGCGGTCCAGACATACACCTATAACAATCTTTTCGAATTTCTAAGTTAACAGTTCGTGAGCACAGAAGTGACTTCTCTTTGTTTTTATCAAACTAATTTAACTTCGAAAATTTTGGACTAATTATTTTTTCTTTTCGCTAAAAATGTTTTGGTCGTAGGAATTATTGTACCTACTAAGTGCAATTTAAATTAAATATTGGCAGTTTACATACAACATTTTAGGTTTATTTCATATATATCGTAATCAAATACTACCATGTCTGACCTAACCTAACCTTTGGAAAGTTGAAGTAATTGATTTCTCTTATATAAGAAATTATGTATATGATTGTAAGAATAATTCTAATCTGCTAATACTGGGAAAGTGTTTTGCGCGCGCTTCTTTTTTTATCCTCGTCTAATCCAATTGGACCTAACCTCTTGTGATCTTTTAAATTACTTTGCCTTGTATGCAGTGCACATATGCGTTAGGGACACGGCAAAGTACCTCTGGGGTTTAATGAATACCAGTGTAAATTATTGGGTGTTTTCCGAAATATAACCCAACATACTGGCCAGTGCTGATGACGTCATAAATCGACGCCATATTGTACTGGTGTGCCACCATATTGTACTGGTGAGACAAATGTGATGGCGTGTGTGCATCAGACTTTGAGGAATTTTTTATTTTAAGAATCTTTAATAACTTTTAGAGCAAAATTATTGTAAACGAGCACAAACACTATTGTCAATTTGACATCAATGCACTGGCCAGTATATTTCGGAACGAATCAACAGTATGGCGTCGATTCATTACGTCATCAGCACTGGTCAGTATGCTGGGTTATATTTCGNCAGAACCCTTTCTGACCCACCTTTTTTTTTGTGGAATTCCATTTTGGCAAAAGAGTAAATGGAAAGTAGTTTTATAACACCTTATTGTGCACAAGTTGCAATTTTCTACTTGAATTTTGAATTTAAAATCTTTATTGCACATTTTCAATCACTTGTTGTACCTTAGTAGTAGAGCAATGATGCGTGAAGCTAGAGGACCGGGTTCGATAATGTGTAGTTGTAAAAATTAATTCGTTGAAAAGCTTACAACAATTTTCGAAAATTCTGAGTATCCACATTTTCGGAGATTCCTAAAGATGGTAGATCTGACTCCTACGGTATAGCCTTCTAATTAAGTCAAAAAATTAACAAAAAAGTTGTCAGAGATATAGGCAGGTACATCCGTATATCACTATCGCATTGCGAATATTTTTATAAATACCTGCAGTCAACTTCACATCTGCGTACTTAAAAAATTATCTCCGCAGTACTAGAAATTAGCTGATATTCAGATAAATGTTTCAAAACAGCTACAAAAGGCATATACACTTTCCAAAATGCTACATTTCTGGATTGTTTTCAGTTTAAGCATTTACCAAAAATTTGTAGATATTAAGATATCATTTATATAATAAACACATTCAAATCCTTGTTTTGATAAATCACAAACAAATTACGTGGATAATTACAATAAAAATAGATACACATTAATGTAGTAATATTTTGAATTGTTTCCCAAATCTGCAAAATTATAAATTTTCGAGTAACAATTTCGCAGACGTTTTTATTACAAGAATTATATCATGAGATATGTTTGTAGTAGATTAATTATAAATGTATGGATTTTGATATACGTGATATGTTATGGTAGTTATCAATTTTTTGATTAAATTATCCGATAAAAAAGTTATTGAGGCAAATAAATGCGCATTTTAAATTCCGTTAAAATGCCAATCAGAGGCGTGTTTTTGATTAAGTTTAATTAAGTCAGAAATTAAAATTGTGTAATTATTGCACAATTTTATAATAGCACATAAATGCTGCACTTTAAGTCCGTCATTTGCAAAAGAACTTAAACTCGCAAGGACAAATGGAAAACCGTTACAGGTATTTAGCATTATTATTGAGTTTTTTTAAGTATTACTGTGAGGGAAATATTTATAGGTATACTTATGCAGCCTTAATTGTCATAAACAATCCATTATCAGAAAGGGATTAATAAAATAGTTGATAAAATGCAGTATGCATACTTTTAAAATAGTAGATTAAGCATATTATTTTTAACATTTAGTAAAGTTAAATGGATATATGATTGTTATTGTTTAAGATTAAATAAACAAGATTAACATACCTACATAGACTTGATTATTTCAGTTTTTAATATTTCCACTCCTCTTTATAATAACAATTTTACTCTATCAGTGAATTCTTCCCAACTGTAACGAGTTAATATAATTTATAGTGGGAATTTTGTTTATCTTTTGATTAAATACGTACATTTCCCAAAATAATTACAATCATCAGGACTCTTCTAACACGAAGACAATGAATGGTTGTTTCGTTTAAAATGCATTGAGTGTATGATGATTCCAAAAGAGATGATGCAATCCAAACTGATTTTGAAAGTTTGAGGAAGTAATCAGTAATCACAGTATAAACAAAACGTCGACACTCAGTCATGGCTGTACGGCAATGATTTTATAAATACTTTTAATTTTGATTTTATTTCTGTAAAGGTAATGCGTTTAAACGATTTGTTATACTGTTATAAATATCGGTCTTTAAATCATAAAGTGAATAGGTAGTAATTATTAAGTAACTGTTTTACTTTAATTAAGTACTTACAACAATTAGTGTTAATACAGTCTCTACATCTATACATACATATAAAATTACAAATAAAACCTAAGGAAAACTAGTACTGTAGATGTCGGTACAGTTACAATATTTCGAACAATATTGCAATGGGTAGTGATACCGTGAAATCACAATAATCTTCTAACAACAAATTCAATAAAAAATCGTTATATAATAGGTGAGCGTCGAAACTTCTAGTGCACTCTTTCGTTGCCGTTAAGGCAAATAAAAAGGTGAAAAAAGTAGTGCATCGGCCGGGAACCGATCTTGCGTTGCCTGCTACGGCAGATCTGAATACGTATAAATTGCTCAAATTGCAGAAATTTTATTTTTGTAACTCTTTTAACGTGTGAACAACTGAAGTTAATTCAACGCACATTTGATTTGAATGCAAATGGTCGATTTTTTTTACCACACGCTATAACTAGTTTAGATTGGTATGAATATTTTTAAATTTATTAACGTTATGTAAAATATTTGATGGTTTACATAATCGGTACCACAATATTAACGATTTCAATAAAAAGATGATCTCTAACTAAAATTTTGGCAAGATTTAAAATATATACTTAAATACTAAAAAATATTTATCGGAAAATACCACAGTATCATAATTAATATCATTCTGCGCTACATTACTTTCTAACTTCTAATGCCTTAGAACAAAATAATATTTTTGTTCTTTTAATGCTACTTTACAATTTTTATAAATCTACTTTTATTATTGTTGTATATGTTACATTCGTTCTTTGGAATTCTTAGTTGTAGACCCACACAAATAAATGGGGGTCATGATTACTGAATATAGGAATACTTTAATCCACCTACAAAAGCATTTATAATTGTACATATCATCTCTTCATAAATAAAGAGTACACCTACAGCGTATTTACAGAGCGATTAGCAATACGAAACACTTAATACTTTCTCTTCACATTTCTAGGCTTCTGTTTCCGAATCGCTATCGTCATTTTGTTGTTCTGGTGTGCGCAAGTCGATTGCAAATTTTTTTCTCATGTCTGGGTTCTTTTGACTCTCTTCTTTAAACTTTTTTCCGTATTCTTGGAACGCTGCAGCCAGTGCGTATGTTAGCTGCCTTGCCTCGTTTCTCGATTGACAAACAAACCCGTGACAGTCGAAGGGTGTAACTGTTGTCAAATCGCCATCTGTTACAACGATCATTGAAAAAACTCTGGTGTAAACGAGGTCCTGAACTCCGTAAGAAATTGTGCTTATTTTGAAAAAATTCGTGGTGGATTTTTCGCTCTTCTTTTTGGTAACGTGGGTTACTTGAAGACCTTCGGTTGAAACCGTAACGTTAACTAGTGGAAGAATGACGTCTGGGGGAAGGTTTTTGGCTTCTTTTACCATTATATCTACCGGTCTTCTTGTATGCTTGATTCCCCAAAGACCTTTGGCAGGCTGACTTCCTGAAAAAATATTAAGTATCTATGTAGATTCAAATTTAACTAAATCCTGTAATTATTAAAATAATTGTGACAAATTCGATTTAGAATACCGGCAATGGGGACCGTTCAAATATAAATTAAAATCCTAACCCAATCTTCGTGTTGTCTTTATCTATTGTAACCAAATGATCTTAACCCATTAAATAAAAGTAAGTTGGGTTCAAGTTGAATCATAAGTAGGTAAAGAAGACATGAACAAAGTGAGTGTTGTCGTAGCCGAGCACTTTCCTTTTTTACAAATAATTTCTTTATCATAGATTGGGATTGGGTTAAGTTTGATCCAACCAGTTCTGATTTTCAATTTTTTGAAACTTAAACTTTAACCCATCAAATATAAGTAATAAGTTGGGTTCAGGTTGGATCATAAATAGGTAAAAAAGAAGACATGAACAAAGTGAGTGTTGTGGTAGCCATGCATTTTGTTTTTTTATAACAATTTTTTTTACGATAATTTTTTTTACAACAGACTGGAATTGGGTTCAATTAAGTTTAACGGAACCAGTTCTGATTTTCAATTTTTTGAAACTTAAACTTTAACCCTTCAAATATAAGTTGGGTTCAGGTTGGATAATAAATAGGTAAAGAAAAAGACTTGAACAAAGTGAGTGTTGTAGTAGCCAACCACTTTCCTTTTTTACAAAAAATTTCTTTATCATAGATTTGGATTGGGTTAAGTTAAGTTTGATCGAACCAGTTCTGATTTTCAATTTTTTGAAACTCGAAAACTATCTAAGCTGCACAACATGCTAAAATTTCAGTGAAACCGGAAATATTAACCCAGATTACCAAATTGCTATCAGCTCCCTTTAGCCTCAAATTATATATAAAACAAACTGCCGGAATTTTATCGATCATCGATTCTTATCTTCGGACTTCTCATCTATTTTCATCTCGTTGTCCAGTTCAAGGTAAAGCATAGTATCTAAATAATGCTACCATAATGTATGCATAAAATATAATACTAAACAACGATGTTGTTCTATTTATTTCTGTGTTCGATAATTTTATGTCTTTTTATGAAGCTATTTTAAATCTAAAATCAATCATTTCTTGTACACGATATAGGCTCAGAGAAGCTAATTCAATAATGTAATTGCTAACGCACGACTTGTTATCGTCAGCCCTTCAAGAAGCCCTACAAGTAATAGAGGTCTCAACCGAAATAAGCATATTAAAGATATTCAAATATTTCTGATTATCGTCTTCGCTTTGATTATCACTAAAACATTTTACTGCGGACACATGTTTCACTTATTTCTAACTTCTACTTCTTATTCTTGCGTTGAAAGAAAATTGTGACACTTTAAATAAGTAGCTGAAACCCCAACGTCAAAGTTCGGAGTACATTTCTTTAACAAGATTAGCAATGCTCTAAACCAAAACGAATATAGAAGAGTGGAAAACATTGACGTTAGGGTTTGAGGGTGTTCTAGAACACCGCCCATGTTTTCCAGTCTTCTAGATTCGTCTTAACTTCGCAGTCATCGGAAATAAACGGTTCCACGAGAATATTCGGTTCTTTGATTTTAGTTATACAGATACAGCAAAACGTTTAAATAATTCATTTGTATTGTATTGTATATTTGATCGAAACGCTTAATTTGGTAAACGTGCGGAAATGTTTTTTTCAAACACGTCTATCTGAAAGCATCACCTACTTTCCTAAAAGCTATTCGAAACTAACTGAACTCTCAAAATCCTTTGAATAATGCGTAACAACCTTTAAAGGCTTTAGATTGTATTTATTAGGCTTATATTACTTCATTATTAATATGAAATAATGGCTGCCGACGAATTTCCCTGTACCACAGTATAATGATTCTATACAGCGGGTTCACTTCTTTAATTTGGCTAAACTAGCGATATTTTTTGCAGGTCATCATAAATTAGCTTTTTGCGCGCTGAGCTGTCCTACACGAGGACGGTTCAATAGCTTTACCGATGTGTAACGATGATATTTTGTACAAGTCAGCCCCTTCTTAGCGGGGAACTCGTTGATGAAATGGTAAAGCGTCGGCCAGGAGAAGGATGTAGGGGCGTTTATACTGTGCTTATACCAAGTCGTATTTTTCAAAAGTTGATACCATCTTTTGATCATTGCATGTAGTGGAGTATCCCTATGGTCGATTTTCAATTCATCCGAACTGAATATCTTTAACACAAAATTTAGAATTTATTAATGTTCCTGCTATTTCATATGAACACAATTTTCACTTACGTATGTACGTTTAATAGTTTTATTATTCCTTTATTAGCTTTAGTTAAACAGAGATTACACGTTATAATACATAGGAGATAGAAGAGAGTGCGTTAATACATGATAAGGAAATAGGAAGTTACGAGGCTATATTGTATCTGCGTGACGTGAGCCTATGCACTTAGAATTATTTCTGGTTAATCAGAATAAAACTGTGTTTCCTTTTCTTTTGATTTCCTGCCATGAATAAAAAGGCTGACCGGTCTACTTCCATAGAGCTTTTGTTTTTCAATAAACTTGCCAATGAACAACAACAAGTATTAGTTTTTATATGATTTTTACTAACTCAAATTGTTAATGTTCAGACTACCTTTTTACTTTATGAGCTTAATTAAGATAATTGCCGAGTCATTGATAAAAAAGCAAATTCGATGTCCTTTCTTATTAACAATAATAAAACTAATAGAAAGTGTTAACTGAACAGTTCAGAGTTTTTTGTATCTGATAATTTAAACTACATATATATAGTTACTCATCAAAATTTAATAATTATCACAAACTTGACAATATTAAGAGTGTTACTCCTAACTCTTTTTCAAGTATTAGCTTGTATGGATATTTGGTTTTCATTGCAGCTATTGCCAAAAAACTCGTTTGGAATTAATGAGACACTACAATAAGTATTTGTAGAAAGACAAGATTACTTTGGAATACATATAGATTTACACTCTCCATTATCATTCATTCATACAAAATTAAATTATGGGTTTGTTTTGAAACGTTTGTTTCAGTAAGCTATCGCATGATAGTTCCATCAACTTTTTTTTATTTATGGCTGTCAGCTAAGGATCGTCATCTTTATTGTCGATAATGGATTCCGTATCTATTAAACGTTTGAGATATCAAGGTCTTTAAAATAGGTTGGAAAACGTAGTATTAAACCATTCAAGTGTTCAATAAAACTAGAGTTTATACTATTACGTTACGATATAAACGTTTAATTATTTTTAGATATTATGGAATGAACACTAATTTTTATTAAAAAGGTTAATTAACGTTTCCAATGGTAGGTGCGGAATCTCTCTTGCGAGTAACACAGGTTGGACACTGAGGACTCAACACTTAATTTAGAAATTCAAAAAGTGAATAGACATGTTTGGTGCACGACTCTATAGAGTTGTGAAAAGTAGGTAAAGAAAAAAGGCGGATGTTAATAATACCGTAGATAAAAAAGTTAGAAATAAGAAGATATGAAAGAAAGATAAATGAATAAATCCCATCTGTTATTATGGAGATTCTTGAAATATTTGTCATAACGTTTCTCGCTGTTACGTGCATCTGCTATAAACCACCAAATAATCCTGTTCCAGGAACTTAAAAGGAGCAAGCGATGATAAAGACCTCGTCAATTGTCACTTGTCACTATAGGTTTTACCCTATAGGTTTTACCCGCGGCTTCGCTCGCGTTGATGTCTCAAATGATGTCAAAGATCATCGACGATCACATAAAACTAATTCTTTTCTGGTTCTCGGGAACAGTGTTCGTTCTGGATAAGAGGTATTCTATGTCTTTTTTTGTACCCCTAACAATGTCTCTACAAAATTTCATGATATTTCATGATACTATAATTTGATAGGGAGGTAATCATATTTTTACGATTTATGTTGTATACCATTTTGTATGACTAATACCTACTAGAACGTATAAAATTGTAGAATGAAAATTACTATTCTGAAAATATTTTGATATTTTATACATTATGAATTAAAGCAAGGATAATAAAGGAATTAATGTATCTATGCGCATTACACATGTTCATAGAACAATTGCTAATTTTTTCGTTATAAGCCTCATCGTTTTAATTGTCAATTATTATTTTTATTACATAACGTACACTTCCGTAAGAGAAACTGTTTTCTGACCTAAATTGTAAATTACGGCCTATGCTCCAATGAGTGGTTATTTAGTGACTTTTCTTTATATTTCTTTTTTTTGCATTTTTTTTGTAATTAATATGGTTTCATCATCATAAAGTCGTCAGTCCTAACAATGGTTGGACACGCGCCTCCACTATTTCCTACACTGAGCTAATCTTCGCATTTCTCCAAAACTAGAACAACCCATATCCTTAACTATTTGTGAACAGTAATCTAATCTAGGTCTACCTCTACCCCTCCTAACTCCCGTCTCTGCCTCTAATATGTCTCTGACTAGACCTTCGTGCCTGATAAGGTGTCCTAGTAACCTATCTCCCCTATTTCTTATTAACTTCCATAGAGTCCTCTATTCTCTTACCATTTCTAATACCTCTTCATTTCTAACCTATTCTATCCTTATAATTCGACTGTAACACTACATTTCGAACGCTTCAAACCTTTTCTTTTCCGCCGCGCCTATCGTCCATGTTTCACACCCGTACAGTACCGCTTTCCAAACATACACCTTTAACAATCTTTTCCGAATTTCTAATTTAACCGTTCGCGAGCATAGAAGTGACTTACTTTTATTGAAGGCGACTCGACCCTGCGCTATCCTCTGCTTTATATCCCTACTATTCCTTCCGTCCTGACTTATCTGACTTCCTAGACATCTAAAATCAGCCACTTCTTCTAATTTTTCGTTTCCTATCTTTATAATCACTCTTTCCCTACTTTTTTCCCTTGCATACCAGTATTTTTGTTTTACTTTTATTTATTTTCATAAAATACTGTTTTGTCAATACCAATTCCATTTTGTTTAAAGCTATCTCCGCCTTGCTAGATG